CCCCCCATTCATCCATTATCCATATATAATTTCTTGTAGTCCTCTTACATCCTGACGTGACACCATTTATTTGCCTAATTGTCAACAAATGAAGTAACTAGACAATGGATCGTAACACCCACCAACAAGTCTACTGCTAGGAAAAGCTTGATTTTCTTGTGAGAAAAGCCAATAGTTAATTACCAAATTTCATCTTATTATATCTGATTTTTCCACCCGCTAAGAGAAAAATAATGTATTGTTTATTTATTTKTGCATGAAACAACTCTTAACTTGCTTGATATGCTGCAGGCAATTGCATTATTGATTGAATTCTAGAGTGGATGGAATTGTCCAAGAGTGGTCTCTTGGTCTATGCTCTTCAGTCAGTCTATTTACCTAACCTGAAAATTTGCCCTTTTTTCGGCAAGTCAATATGTGGTATATAAATTAGGGTAAATTATAAAGACCTTCTTCCGTTAACCTTCCGTCTAAAAGGCTGTTGTAATTTTTTTTAATTCCTATACTAACCTTCCGTCTAAAAGGCTGTTGTAATATGCTCTTCAGTCAGTCTAATAACTATTCGACGAGAAAAATACTGTTCATCTTCCCCAACCTCATTCTTCCTCTTCCTCTTTCTCCCCGATCGGGATTGAACCCATTAAACTCATTTTCACGAGTTTGGTGCAATTGTACTGAACCAGTGAGAGGTGATATAAAGCTAGCGCCGAATCGTGTCTAGCCCGCTCGCTCTCGGACCCAAGCAGGTGCAGAAGCTGCGGCCACGGCGACAACAATATATGATTATAAGTGTTCCGTTCCCTCTACAGGTCTTATTCCTCAGTACCAGCACAGCAGGACTCGGAACTAACCTCCCACATTTCTCTTGTTTCTCCCCCCTATTTTTTCTCTCAAGTCGTTAACAGCAGCAAAAAACAATTAACTACATCAAACAATCGAACCAGAGGGCGGAAGACGTGAGAGAGCTAGCTCTACCGAACACCAACCCATCAAGAGCGGGGCAGCAACTGGTTCGGCGGTGACAGAGGTCGCAACAACTGTGGGAAGGAGCTGAAATAGAAAAAGAAAACGAATCCACCGCTGTGGAGATCGGTGATGGGTTTGAAGGCGGAGGAGGCGGTGGAAGTGGAGGAGGACATCTTCAAAAGAGGGACGCGGCTGCAATTCATGTTGAACGTTGAGGAAGTCGAGAGCTCACTGCTCACATGCTCTGGCCTCGGAGCTCAGAACTGCATATCTCTTTGTCATAGCCTTGTTTTTTCCTTTATTCTTGTTTGAGAACCCTTCTTTTCCAAATCTTCTACGATCCTGACSTTTTTGGTACACTCGTGGTTTTGAAACCAGCTTTCTTCGGATGGCGGATTGTTCTACTGAGGTTCCTCTTCCTGTCTCTGTAGAAGAAATGCTAAGAACTATATGTGAGCAACAGTCACTGCCACCTGCTGAAATGA